TAACTCTCCACACCCCACACTGGCTTTCTCACTCCTCTCATTCCCCTCCTCTCTTGTGCTAGGAATGTTGATCAGAGTCTGCCATATTGTTACGCAGTCCTCCTTCCATAGGTCTTTTCAGAGTCTCCCTCTTGCCCCGTATGATCCGTCTGCTATCTCCCTGGTTCACGTATTTCACTCGACCCCTGCCAACCTATCTGTGATACTCAAAGCGTTATTTCCCACACTCTGCCTGTGGGAGACTAAACTGATGCTAAAGAACCGGAGTAATTCTGATGGTCATAGATCACGTCTAGGTTGGCCAACTAGCTCTAGTCTCCACCGCATCTATCATGTTCCTATTCGTAGTGCCAAGTCTATGACTTCCTATGCCCGATTCTCTTGTGTGCCAAGCCACAAATGTTATGGTTCTACTTGTTTTGATTAGGTTCAATGTAGAACTAAAATATTTGTCTGTTGGCACACAAGAGACAAGGGCATAGGAAGTCATAGACTTCGTATTATGTATATAAACAGGATAGAGATGGTGGAGACTAGAGCTATTTGGCTAACAATATACGTGCTTGATCATAGACGTGGTCAATGGAGCACGTCTCCCAGACGCAGAGTGTGGAAAATAACAGATAGGGTGGCAGGGGTCGAGTGAAATACGTGAACCAGGAAGATAGCAGACGGATCCTACGGGGCAAGAGAGAGACTCTGAAAATACCTATGGAAGAAGGGCTGATTCATAATATGGCAGACTCTGATCAGCATTATCAGCACAAGGGTGAAGATAGGTGAGAAGGGAGAAAGCCAGCGTTGGGTGTGTAGAGTTATCATGAAATCCGCTCAAAAGGGCACACCATCTTGGTCTTCATACCTCCGATTAAGGACTGATAATTGAGTTATCTCACATTAGGACGATTCGACTCCATGATGTGGCTGTAGCTCACTTAGCCATTTGGGAGGCAATGCAACGAAAATTTAATGACATCCTGAAGTGTACTCACCATACTATGGGAAAGCTCAGCTATCAGTCGTAAAACCACCTTAAGCCATCTGGGATAATTAAAGTATTATTCAAGAATTACTGATAATCTCGATAGCTAAATGTAGCCATAACTCTCCTTCCTCTCTTCCCATAAAATAAGAAGTAGAAAAGTAATAGAATAAAAACTCGTAAGAAAGTCATGTGCTCAGGACAGCAGCCGTGTTGATTGAGAAGGCAGATTCAAAGGTAAACTCTGCAAGTCTGTATTGGAGTCAGCCCCAAACAGGGCTTATGAAGAGGTGGAGCCAGGAGTAAAAAAGACAGGATTTGTTAGGGCCCTATCACGATTCAAAAGAGACACATCACTCTTACCAGTTTTATCAATTGTGAGACATGTCAGTGCATTTGAACTAGCGGTAGAACTAGGGCTCAGACGATGTGCAGAATTGACTGCGTTAACGGCTGTACGTTCATCCTCATTCATTTTATGTTTGCCTTTGTCGTTGCCATCTGCATCCTTAGTCCCACCAAGTACACCAGTGACCCAAACTGGGCAAGTAGTAACAGCGACTTCCCTTTGATGATCAAGAATACCAGTACTCAAGTAGGGGGGATCCTGAATAGGGAAATCATTCTCTGAGAAGAGGAACAGAGAGCCATTGGAGTCCGGTCGATTATCAAGTGCCAGAGATGGTGTTGGTGATGACAACGCTGCAATAAGGCTCGCATGGACTTCTGTATTATGCTGAGAGTACATCTGTCTCGAGGGTACATGAAGAGGAATTGAGCCTGAGGACGGTTTGAGTAGTGAGTGAGAGTGCAACGGTTGGATAGAATGTTGAAAGCTATTGGCGGAGTGACCAGCGAAGCGAATTAGCTGGCCAGTATAGTTCGCGGTTAGCATTGGTGAATGCCGAAGTCGGCCTGACGGTGGCTGGTTGATGGAGGTGGTGGCGAAGGAGGTCTGTGTAGGTAGGATTGATCGAGAGGCGGAACTAGGTCTTATATCACTTGGAATACCACTTCCCGTGCTACTGCATGAAAGTGTGTCATCTTCCTGTATGCGGAAATGAGAATAATGGCCAGTGGTAAGCATAGGAAAACTAGGATTCTTAAATCTACATATTACTGCGACGACCTATTCCAAGAAGAAGCAGCTGTGAGTCTCCTGTAAAATACTCGTATTTAAGTGTTATACTAAGGACTAAAAATATGCTTCAGGCTTTTTAGTGCCGATATCTGAGCCTACACATAAAGTATGTAAAAAATATATGTTGGATAAATCAAGATAAATAAACTCGTCTATTCAAAGTCCGAATGATAATAGAGATAAATGAATAAAGAATAAAATACGGTTTAAAAAAGACAGCATTATTTGATGTTCTATCGGGGAATAAATATATCACCCATCGTTTGGTGTTTAAGAAATTTAGGATAAATCCATTCTACAATAAGTAAAAAGAAGACTATATGTGCTATAAAATTACTTTCCTATAAGAAAACTCAGGTAAAAACCATAGTATCTTTAGAAGAAACCTAAAATTATTACTTGTTTCAATTGGCTAATAATT